TATATATATATATATATAATATTATATATTATAATATAATATTATAAATTGATATAATAATATAAATTTTATCTTTAATAATATTTTAATTTTTTAATAATATATTAATTATAATTGAAAAAAATTTATACACTTTTCCAATTTTTATTCTATGATATATATTTTAATTTTGATTAATATTTCAATCCATCGTTGATACTTTCATTGATAATATATGATCAAAACTTTGTTAGTAATCTCAAGGAGTTTTATGTATTCTAAAGTGAAAATCTATTGAATGCTAAAAGGAAACTAATTGCAAATCTATATCTAATATCATTCAAAGAAAATCTAGCCTCTTTATTCCCAATCCAAAAAAAAAACCTAACCAATTACCATTAATCTGTAATATTTTCTCATATCCGTTGAATACATGTTTTAACAACCCATTATTTCTCTCGCGTGAACCATTTGTCGTACGTCAAAAAGAAAGGTTCGTGAAAAAGTTGCTCGAGACAGAAACAGAAGAAAAAGCAAATAAAAGTTTGAAATCAAGTCTTCTGATCTGCGGATCGTTTTTTTCGAAAGCGCAAAATAAAAAAGCATGAACAATTACTCGTTCTTAAGTAAAGAGTTAATAGACCAGTTGCTGACGTTGCTGTCAACCATCTCGAGCATCGTCCAGCATTCTCCAAGGCTGTAACGATCAGCACGCGGCACTAAACTCAATTTGCCGGCTCGTAAATGGCACCGCGACGTAACCGGCGTCGTTGCTCAATGTCATCGGCGCCGGTGGTTACGATAATTCTAAGATTTGATCATATGGAGAATTTTATGAGTATCGTTAAATCTAGAAACGTATTTTGTACGTGTAATTTCATTAATTAGATGGATTGAAAAATATCAAAATATCATCTTTTTTATGAACTTATGGATTATCGTTGTAAAAATTGTACACAAATTGTCAGAATATTCAATTCAAACTGTAATTTTTTCTATGGATCTAATTGGAAATTAATTGATGTCATCGTCAGAATTGTAAATTTAATTTGTATTATTTAATTTTCAACGATTACTCCCAAAATGGTACTTTCTTATAAATGGGCATTTATTGAAAATTTCGTTAATAATTTTTAATGAATTTTAAAAAATGGTAACTTCTTTGTGGGCCTAATAAAAAATTGATAGATATCTTCATTAAAAATTCTGTAAATTCAATTTGTATTATTAATTTTCAACGACCATTCCCAAAAATGGTACTTTATAATGCATATAAGTAGTTTTATTGAAAAATATATTAATAATTTTCGATGAATATTCTATGGATTTAAATGAAAAATTATTGAATTGGATTAATTATCATCAGAAATTTTATTCATATGATTAACTCTCAGTGATCATTCTCAAAATGGAAATTTTTTCCATTAATATAGATAAAAATTAATGCTATGATAAAAATACTTTTTGTAATACTAATTATGGATCTTAATTTTTTTCGATTTTAGAATACTTTTAAAATTAATCAATAAATATAATAATTTCAATGAAAATGGGGCACACGGATCACACCCTTCTTCAATTCAACCCATTATCCTAGACAATAGTTGGAGCAAGGCAACGACAAAGTTACTTCATCGAGGTCGTCTTAAGAAATTCAATATTAGATTAGTCGATCATGGTTAATATCCTACAGGGTGGGTACACTCAGCGTGGGCCTAATTATCCCCTTTACTATTTGAAGGTAAAAACCATATTAATATAATGAGACAATAGACGAGTGATGTCATGGGATGTATGAAACGCGAAGGTAATCTACTTTTTGCGAACTAGTTTCTGTAGACCTTTGGTTTCCTTAACTCGTCACGATATCTTTTGTAACTTAATTGTCTCGAGTTTTTTTCCTTTGACCTAGATTATTAGCATAATTAATAATATTTTTAATATAAATTCACATGTTTGTTTTATAAAGAAAAAAT